GCGGTCACTTTAACACCGCAGTCGCGCGCATCATCGGGGGAAGGTTACGAGCTAATCGTACTACCCTGCCTACACAAAGAGAGGGGACAGTCACGTACTCTCCAAATTTATGCAAGAGCACGCGCCAATGTCGCCGTCGCGCATAATGTTTTGTCAAATTTCCGGAAACGCGTTGTCACTACGAAAAAATTAACTTTCCTCGAAACTGAACCCAACTGCGCTTCCGCCGTCCGACGTTATCAAATTATTTTCAAGAAACATTTCGAATTATTTCTCCATAAATTGTAAAGGCTTACGGCGGCCTCTAAATGGACGCCGTCTCGTTTGGGATTTTTCTATGCGCGCGTGTCCAACAAAATGACTCGTGACTCAGCCGGAGAGGTCGGGCCTTCTACGCCACGCCTAATCCGAATATAAAATATTGTATTTTACGGCGTAAACCAGCGAACAATACGCGCCTCGGACCGTCGTCATTGTGAGGAACGACTCTCCAAGCACGAAGAGAGAATTTTTGAAGTGAAATAAAATGCGCATCGTTTTGCTGAGGACTGGGCTCTCTGCTAATAGCGTCATCGGTTCTCCTTGCAATTCTTTCGCGCTCGAATGCGCCTGCGAGGAGATGCAAATCGACCGAGTCGGACATGAAAATCCGCAACAGCAAGAGCGTGCCGAGATATATATCTCGCGCGTTCGATTATAATAAACTAAACCATTCGCGCGCAAAACTTTCCTTTTTGATCCGCAAAACTGCATGTCGCACGTGAATTTCCAGCTCGAGCTCCAGTTTCATCAATGAAAATGCAATTCTGTCGGCGAGAGCTATATTAACTAAAATTAGGTTCACGCCCTTTAGGGTCAGTAGACGAACCGTGTCAACGCGCTATCGTTGTTGCAGCTGCGAGACTTTCGGATAGAATCTAGTTGGTTTGATGCGGCTTAGAGCCGAACATATCCGATCGCGAATTAAATGCAAGGCACGAAGGCAATTTACCGCGGCAGCAGCTGCTCGACATCTGCCGGCTGCATTCTGCTCGCAACCTTCGCTATCAAATTGCGCGAATAGTTTTAGTTGTGCTCTGACGCTTGGAAGATTTGCACGCGGATTTGCACCGCGATGTGATGTTATCCGGCTATAAATAAGCGCATAGAGATAATAGGAAACAAGTAGAATTAACGTTCGTTTCACAAAGACGCGCAAGTTGGATGCAACAACGTTCTATTAAAGAAGACATGCCAGGTCGACGAGTGTCCTATTAAATTTTTCATTCAATTGCAATTGAATTGAATTATCTGTGGGCTTATAGTGTATTTAATTGATTAAAGCTGTCCGTTTCCTAGGGACGCAGAGTATAGAGCAGAGAAAGATCTAACGGAACGATAATCTGTGGATCTAAATATTCTCTTCAGGCTTATGGAGAGATTGTGAATCTAGTAATCTATTGATCTACGGACGAACCCATCGGCGCAGCAATTTATGGAGAACGAGTCTTTATATCAAGCAATCTATAAATTTATGTATCTGTAGATAGTTATCTGCTGATCTCAGTACATCTTCGAATTTATCGTTACATATATAGATCCATCGATCGATAAATCCAAGCAATAATCTAACTTTAACGTACCACACTCCATTGTCTGCAAATATATAAGGAACGAATTTCAGAAGCGTGCAACTAAACAATCAACATTAATAAATATATTCAATATTCTTGCTAGAATTTATAAACCTATTGCAAAAATCATCTTTTCAATTTTTGCAATTATTTTTGACTAAAATAATGTAAGAATTTTCGAAATTATATAACTTCTTTAAAAAAAAAAAAAAAAAAGAAGAGATTAATTAAACTAGTGAACATGATGTCATCAATTAACAATGATGTAAAGTCGATTGCGTCCGTGCGCATAATAATGTAGTCGAAAGCATGAAAAAATCAATCAACATTACGTAAGATGCAATCAACGCGAGTAATGAATATTCTCGCGTAAAGGGACTTTTTTAATTAGCGGTAAACGCGAATATCTCTGTATCGACGATCGTAACGTGTTCGTAAACGTTTCGAACGATCTCGAGCTCGATCTCGGTCGGCAGTAATTACGCTGTAAAGTCAGCACCCGGTGCCGGGATCCCCGTGTCAATGAAACCCGTCTCGCCGCCGAAAATAAAAATGCTCGTCGGCGATATATAGGGCGAGGACGATAAAAATAAATGCACCCGGAGGGAGCCTGGAGTCTTTCGCGGCGATAACAGATTGAACAGTAAAAGCAACGAGTCCGAAATAGATTTCGTGAAATGGGGAAGACGCAATGAAGAGCGAGATATTCCGAATGATTCTGAGAATATCGGTATTCTCGAAGATTATTGCGACATAGAAGATCAGCGAAGACAAACTGCTTCGTTCCAAATATTTGTTGCGCTCATTTGTTTAATATTATTTGCAACGATAACAGTTGCGCAATTTGATTAAAAGCAATTTAATATGAATATAAATCAATGTGTTTTTTTCTCGTCAAGACTTGTGGTTTGTTGATATCTAAGATCTCGCAACTAATACCAACGCAAATAGAGCGATACATACATTTTGGCGGTCCATTCTGTACGTACATGCATTCTCCTGCTTGATCTTTGAGTCGCAATCAGCCGGGAAAGACGCACGACAGACATCGAGGGCCTGAATAGCTTATCGATCGTTTGATCTGCTCGAATCGATTAGTCAGAGTTGCGCTTGCGATAGCAGGAAGTCGCGAGCGTGGGAAACGAAAGCGAGTTAGGCTGAAAACGCAAACTGGCGTGCGAGAGTTTCGTGACTCGATGCGAAAAGCTCGGCTTGCGGGCGGCTTCACGTGACCGAGCATAGTCGACCAGATTGGCTGACCATGACCTCGCAGACCCTTTTATCTCCCGTCTTCTATTTCAATTGTTCTTTGTTTCTTTCTCCTCTCTCTCTCTCTCTACTCATCTGCTTACAGCCGTCTCCGCCGTCTCTGCTTGATAAATCAAATGGACTTTTTTCATTTCAAAAATTCTGAAAAACTATTCGTTAAACTACAATACTTTTCCCGTTCTGAATCTGTTCTTTCATTCAGTGACACAAATGCGCATTTCCAGCAACAGATGCGACACAAGAGTTCGATAAAACTAAATAATAGAAATTGAAATATGGTAAATATTAAAGTGCCTTTGCTTGTACGACGCTCGCATATGGTGAATCGCTTTGATACCCCGCGGAAAACGTATCATGTGAAATGATGAGTGATTAGTGAGTCCGTAAGTCTCGCGCCGCCACTCGTCTCGGTCGATTAATTCGGAGCGAGTGCCGTGAAGCGCGCTGGTATTTCCATGCGAAAAAGCACCCCTTTGTTCAGTTGCGAGCACAGCTCGCGAACTGAATGACGGATGTACGAGAAGCTCCCGTAATCCTCCTATTGTCTCGTCGTCCCGTCTTTGTCTCTTCAGAGAAGTGTCAAAAATCGAGCGATTATTTTGTTCAACAATGTTCGAGTCATTGAGAAATATTCACTTTGTCTATTGAATTATTTTTACAAATTAATTGGAAATGTATTTCGGAAAATATTTACAAATATAATTACTGATATTAATAAAGAAAATAAAATATTAATTTTACTATGACAAAATTCATTGCATAGATACTGTGAGATGTGAAGAAAACTTTTCATCCATTTCGTTGATTGGCAAAGTTGTTAAATTGAATAATATTTGTAATTTAATTTGGACAAAAAAGCAAAATTTTTGTTCATCAGAACAAAATACTCATCGCTCGGATTCCCGTCGGAGAAATATAAGAGAGATCTCAACGAGAGGAATCACACAAAAGAGCAGAGGCTGCAGAAAAGATAAGTAGTGCTCATCCGTCGGCGCACCCATTAGAGACACATGTGGCTTTTCTGAACAACGAGCTCGGGCTCTTCGTAATGTTCCTCGGAGTAAGAAGACGGGCTCAAGAAGGCTTAACGCTCCGAAAACGCGTCAGTAGCGCGATTAGAAGAAATAGCTAATCAGTCAGTATTCTCGCCGTCTATTTAACACTAAATATGGCTCTCTGAGAAAAAGACATAGCCTTCTAATTGCAAGAATCAAATTCAATTTGATTTTACATAATCATTGTCAATTTAAATTATTTTTCTTAGGAATGAATTATACGCGTTTTATATTAATACCAAAACACTGCAAAATACAAAGTACATACTCAAAATATAACGCGATTTAAAAAGAAAAAAATCCGAGTTCTTTTCAAAGGCATCCGTATTTGTTTCGTTGACAAACGCGAAAACGCGTAATAATAGTAATATTCAATGATTCACGCATTTTCATAACCGCCTCGCGTTTTCATTTACGCTCGCGTGGCGTCTCGCGTTACGCTCTTATTCTGCATCGTACAATGAGAAAGATGATACCCTCTCCAGGCGAGGTTATCTCGTGTGCACAATGGAAAGAGCACGGTGCGAAGTGGCGCCCGTTAAATGTGAAATGGCACTATCGGAAAGAAACACGATGGCGTTTAGCATAAATTCTGTCAGACTGTTTACGATGCGCTTCTCTCTTTATCAGCGAATACATGTTTGGCATATCACGATCACAATATATATATAGAATTGTGATACATATTGAGTATCTTCTAGTAATAGATTTATTTATAATAAAATATATAAAATATTTTTCTAAAAGGAGAAAAATAGCAATTTTCAAGATTTTCGTGTCGATAAAAATTGTCGGTTTGATAATATTTTGTCCGCATTAATTATATTTGACAATTTTGAATTAAATACCTAAGGATATGCTCATCCTAAAGTTATAATGAAAAGTGATCTTTCAAACCCAACATTTGCTAGGAAATTTTAATTGACCTTAGAGAAACATTCATGAAAGCGGTTTTGCGGTCGCGTCTTCGATAACGTGACGTTTAATTAACCGCGGTTGTTCAGGGAAACGTCGCAGGAGCCTTTGTGACTACGGTGCAGTCTCGTCTTTGGTCTCGCTGAGCATCGGTTCTTCGGATCCCGGAGTAGTCACCCACTTGGTGATAAATGGCATTCCGGAGCGAGGGGACCTAATCAGCCCAGGTAAAGGTTGCGCCCGCACTACTTACGAAATTCCTGAGAGCGACAACGACGCTCCACGATCGAATTTACTGTCGGTGTGCGGTCCATTCCCTTAATAGACGAATCATCCACCGTAGAGTTGAATTTTATTATCTGTTGCTCAACGCTACTCGCGCCGTTTCACTAACTATCTTTGATCAGCTGTTTCCGTCGATATCGTAAATAATATTACAAACATGCATATATCATCTGACAATTAAGATCGCAGCCATGTTTGTTTTCTGTTTTTATCACGTGCCATACATTTCGCGCTGATGGTATGTAAACAATATGCATTCAGCATTTAGTGAGGTGTCTCTTTAATACATTAAGAATGTTAAATAATAATAATATTTTAAAAGAACGAAGAATTAACATACAATGTCTTGTTAAAGAATTCTTGGAAAAACATTTTGCAAAATATTTAAGATAATGTTGTAAGATTTAACGACAGAATAATATATTTTTTATTAGTTAACGAGGTTACAAAGCTCGAGACAAATATCGTAGTCAGCAGTTCTTTCAGACTCAGCCGTAATTATATACACCGTCCTTAATCCGAAGTCAGCGTTTTCGGTCTCGCGCACACATTTACATGCAACGAGCTGAGCAGATGTTGCTTTGAGCGATTTACCGAACGGGAGCAGTGCACGCGTGATCGATTCTCCGGGCTTGCGCGCGTATATATTTTGCGAGGCCCGGATCCGTCTGGAAATTCTGCGACACAAGCCTTGCTTCGCGAGGCCACGACGACGAGGTTGGTGGCAAAAACCACGACGGTTCGGGTGTGGGCGAACGGTTATTATTGCCTGGCGCCAGACTGGAGGGTCCCTCGTATCAAGAAGGCGTCGAATGAAGGAACAGTAGAAGCGCCGAAACCGGGCGAATATATTACAGCGGCATCGCATAATTCGTGAGAAAGGAAACGTGGCGAAGTCGCGAAGAAGGAAACGTTTCTCGCGAGTTCTTATTCGCGGAATAAAAAAACCTCGTTTCTTAGAACACAATAACAAACGATATTTTAGACGGCGAAACGTGCGTTAAAGAAACAAAAGAATTAAATTGTATTATTTATCTTTGTAAAGAATTAATAAAAAATAACGTGAAAAAAATATCTTTCCCAGTATCGAGTTTCTACTTACCAAGAGAAAAATCTGAACTTTATACGAGTTGTTTTTATACCTCGAAAACATAAAAATTTAAAAAAGAAAAAAATAATGCGCTACAAAATAGGGCATTTATTACAAGCTTACAAGAAGCTCGTGCCAATTCCCTGTTATTGAAATAAAGATAAAAACGCAGTAGTTCTTCGATTCCGAGCCCCTCACAGAGTGATGATAATTCCATCCGTGCGGTATCGATCGAGCGGACAATGACAGCAAATAACCTCCGCCCCCGCGATTGCGGAGGGCTGGGCACGAATCGCGGTCCCCCTTTCTATCTCTGCAATAATGATCACCTGAAAGTGCATTCCCTCGTCCACGTGCGACCGACGGAGGGCATAAATCCGCGTTTCTCCGCCTTCGAAGGGACCGAGAAGCACGTCCCGTAATCTCGTTTCGACATCGAAAGCCGTCCGTCAACTCGCGCGAGGTAGACGCGAACTTTTCTAGATGTGATTGAATAGAGGGTTGTTTCGTAATGAAATTCAGATTCTAAATACGATGAGTCTCTTCGACGATAATTCGATTGGACGCTACGTCTTTTTGCGATTCTTAATAACTTTCGGACAATTACGCATAAATTGCGCGCGCAAGAAAAATAGACATCCTTCCGCGACAATAAAGAAGCGAGAGAAATAAAAATATATGTAGTGGGATTAATTTGATCGCCAATCGATCGTGATGACATTTGTTCTACCACGTGAGGATTAGATCTTTTTCTTGTCTGCGTCACATGTGGATTAGATTGTGGTCTTTTACTTATTGTTAGATGTCACGAGAGAGATGTCTGTTCCATCTACAGCGCTAACGTCCAAAGAACAAAATACATATAGAGTCTCTTAATTCTCAAATGTGGTATTAAACTGATATTTGTAATATAAAAAGATAATAAATTCTATTTACAATTCGAGATTATCTTTGATGGAATATATATCATACATATATATTCTCATAACATTTTGCACAAGAATGTCTTCATTTTCATATATCATAAATTTTTTAATATGTTTTTAAACTAATCTTTGATACGCAAAAACTGAAAAACTAGAGTTGTATTATTTGCAGAAATTAAAAAATTCATTTCTTCGTAAAAATAGCCCTCTATCAAAGACCGGTAACATTTCTATGTGTTCCCAATGTAAAATAAATATATATAAAGACATACATAATAGAAGTAATAATAAAAAATCGGAACTATCTTTCACCGTCAATTCTCATTATTTCCAAGTCGTAAACAACATTGCAAAGTGTGACATATATTTCCTTTATTTCCAGCACAATACTTTGCTTTCTCTTTTATTATCTTCGCGACACCGATTGTCAAACGACAACTCGTCGCCCTCGAAATGTACAGCGGCTCGACTCCGAGGCTGCAACTAGCACGAATTAAACGTCATGAACAATGACGATCGGACACCTGAACTCGCACGCGCTCAATGCATCTCTCTTCTTGCTGTCGCCACGGATTATGATAATGCTCGTTTCCTCACCGGCTTCACGGCAACACCGAGGGATCGGCAAACGGATTCAGAGGGGATAACCAGGAGAGTCACGGGAGGGTGGATTTCCCGGCACACGAGACTGCCGAAAAACAGGGGTGGCACCACGGGTGAGTCATACTTCATCCCCGCGACGCGGCCGTGGCCGACGGGGCGGAATGGTGACTGGTCGCCTATCATCCCCCGTTTTCTGCCTGCGGACGAGCTTCGAGCGTCAGACACCCTCACTCTATTTTGCCCCCCCCCCTTCTCTCTCTTTCTCGCTCTCTCTCTCTGACTCTGTATTGGTTTTACATCGTTCTTGCTCTTTCTCCTTCTATCTCTTTGATTGAAATTATATTTCAATCTCCGGGCAACCTACCGTTGTTTCGGCACGCACTGCAGACTATCTGACGCAGACCAGACTAACGTAAATGTGTCCGTTTGTATCGTGAAATACGCTTTTGTCGTGGTTGATGTAAAGTCTCAAACTGCGCAAATTGTGTTCAGTTGAAATAAGCTTTAGATTTTTGAATCTACAGAAAGCTAAAATACAATATAAATTTGATATCTCAAATGCATTCGAGAAATCTTCAAGATTAGTTTTCTTATTCCCGAAAATGTGAAAGATTAAATAACTTATTTAGTACTCCCGAAAGAGCATCTTTACTATTGTTAACTTTTTGCGATGCGAATTACACACAAATAAACTAATATTAAATATTTCATCCTTATTTAAATGATAACAGATTAAAAAGGATGTAACAATCAATTTTTGGAAAATCTAAGAAATCCAATAGAGATTAGAAAATATGTAATTTCTTAATTATAGTGATGCACTGTTTAACCTGTATAAAAAATTATTACAGAGCACTATTAAGTCTGTCTCGACATAGCACGAAGGATTGATAACATCATTACAAAAGACACGCTAATACGTTTGTGTGTGCGTGTATTCCTTATATAATTAAATAAATAATCAACTACAATTTTCTAATACGCCGGCGTAAAATTTCATATATACCTACAAGATGTACACGGTTGATAAACCCAAGGTAATGAATGAACTTTCAAGAGGAAGTAATTTATGGCGTGCATCGCGTACGAAGTGTTAAAGCGTTCACACATCAGATATTGCATTTTAAACACGTTTCTACCATTATTTTGATGGCAAACAGTCGTGACTATTTAGTTAGCTGGGCTTATCTACTGCTTACGCTACCGTCTGTCTTCTGCGCTTCCCTGCGCGAGCTACTTCCGGCTGATCGTTGAAGGAGATAATACGAAGCGGATTAACACGATACCCGGCGCGCGCACGGCAGACAAGGTGGAAAACTCGAATATTCTGCTCAGGTGACGTGTACATATAATCCCCGAGAGGCGAGAGGGGGGGGGGGGAATATCGACGTCACAATTTTGACTAACAAATTTTTCGGGCGTTGTTACTATAGGCAATCCTCCTTCTCCACCTCCTTAATCGAGGACGCAGCTGGCGCTGAATCATCCTGGTCCCTCGAAAGCACCTCGGCGTTGCCAAGGTTTCCAAAGTGACTTCGAGTAAACTTATTGCCCGCGCTTATCGAGAGCCGGCCAGAAAGGTGGAGAGAAAGAGACGAGGCCGGAAAATACGGAGCTCGTAAGCAACTTCCGCGCGGTCTCGATAATCGTTGACGTATATCGACCGGCACTTTTCCTGCTTTCCTTAATTTCCGCCCGAGTCGGCATGCCGCCAGACTCGAATCTACGACTGCCCTAGACCGAGTGCCGCGGAACTATCGTGCGTTTCCTCGCCGTCGCAAGTCTTTATCAAGTCAGTCGAGTCTTGATTTTCTTTCAGACTTTTGAAGAGAAAAAGATTCGTCGCGATTCCTAATTTCTTTTCTACGCTTAATGCGTTCATGAAGCTCCAAAAGTTGAAATTATGTGCAATATAAAAAAAAAAATTAAAATTCTATTAAAAAAACTAGTGTTAATACTTGGTATCATATTTTGATACTTATTTTTCCCGTCTCTTAAATCATTCGGTGTTAAGCAGATTACACTGCTCTAATTATAGAGATTAAAGATCTCTCCAAACTTTTACAACGCCCTGCGTACGGATCAATGACACCATTCCCAAACGGTTAGATGTCACGACATTAATGCAAAGAAAAGATGATACCCCGACCCGAATGTTTGATACGCGGCCTCGACGACCCTCACGTCTCGATTTTCTCGCATTTTCTGATTTATCGCCGCGAGCAACTCTTTGTCCCCGTTAAATGTTTGCATTAAGCGCACGCATCATGCAGGCTCGTATGCAATTTCGCTCCGAGCGAACGGAGTAACTCCGCCGGCGGTTAGTAATTCAAGCGGCCACTTCGGAGGCAACAATGGACGTAACAGTAGATTCGCCGTAATTTTACACTCGAGTCTATTTTCCTCCGCGTTGCCTGGCTTAAGCCTCATTCGCCCAACGTTATTCGCTAATAGTGTGCTTAATAGTGTAAAACTCCACTTGTGCTGCGCATAAAAACGTAAATATGATGATTCTGAGCATACTGCGAGTCATAATAGTCAAAATAAAAAATTTAAATTTTCTCCTAACACAATCTTGTCGTTGGAAACAACAATAATAATATATATATATAATAAGTGCAATATTTTATTATTATAATAGGTGTAACTAAGCCGATACTAAAAGGTGTAACCAGCTTTAGACTCACGCTGCTCGAGACGCGACAGGGGGTTGGAGAAAAGGGATGCTAGCGACACATAATCGACCTAACGGTCAGCATCCGCTCCGGCAATTACCTGGAGAAAATTCCAGGCTTCAGGCAATTAAGAGCGTAGCGCGGCGTGTGGCAGATGCCGCGGAAAACTTTCGTGATTGCGCGGGAAACTTCCGGAAGATGCAAGCCCGTGGTGCTATAACTGAACGTTTGTATAATTAAAACGACACGAAATACGCGAGCTCGAGAATTCTCGATATTCGCAGCACGCGCAAACGTCGGATGCGATATAAACCGACCGATTACTGCGACCATGGCAAGCGGTCGATAACGGCATATTATTAACATCCGCGAACACATCGAGATACGAAGATCATGATGCTCGAATAACCATTATGACATTTCGAATGGGAGACCTCGTACTCTCCAAACCGGAATATGCAAATTTTTACCTCGACTAGTGTGTAACATTACGAAAAAACGATATTCGACGACGTGTCTTAAATTTAGATTGCTAAATATATTTTATTTTAATAACAAAGTAGCAGATTTCGTAGATTTATAGTAAAATATCAAGAAATCTCATCTTTGACCGCGTCTTTTCAATTCTCAACGTATATTCTTTTAAACTTTGAATTCAAAGTTTATTAAAATCCGCTTGAAATTAATTGCAAAATATGGTACGCTCTGTTATTTATATTTCTTAAATTAATAGAAAATTTTTTTTTTCAATCGTTTGTAATTCGAAAACTATTAGTGCCTCGACATTTTTGTCTAGGAAAATCAATTCTAAAGTCTCCATAATTTGTATTGAAAAAAACAACATATAACTAAATCAATTCTTCAAATCTCACGTACCATTCCCTCGTCTATCGACACGTCTTCTTCAAAGTAACACTCGTCATCTTCCGGTGTCAAGACGTTAGGAGCTTCCTGCGGCTCCTCCTTGACGTCCTGCCTCCTCATCCAATCCATAACAAAATATCCTTGGTTTCCTGGTGAATAGAAGACGTTCGGTCTCCCCGGCTTTCAATCGGTTTTCTGAATCATGTATCCCGAGTCATCGCATTTGACGAACGTCTCATCCGTCACTTTCGATTCATTCGACAAGAAACGAGATAAGAAACGAAAGGAGCTGGTCTGTGGTTTCGGCACGAAAAGTTCGAGTCGCGCCTCTTATCGTTCATCAACCACGCTCCGATTACGCGGAAGTTACGCCAGCGGTCGCGGTTGACATTTGCGAAATGTCAAGCCTCCTCCTGCCGGTCGGCTGAATATCGCGCTAACGAGACACGCTTCTCGAGATTGCGGCCGAAAGGGACGGCGATCGATAGTGCACTTCTCTCGCCTCGCGATTCGCACGTGCTCTCCGTGCCGCGCGGCTCGCCGGGAAAATGCGGGAAAAAAAAGTGCCGGCACGCGCCGATCACTATATTCGCACTCGCACTGCTTCGAACTCGTTCTGAGAATCGTCGGTACAAACGGTTCTTCGCAAATCTGTTCCAGCGACAGCTAAGCACATCGATTTTCCATTCTCCCTCGTCGTTGTCAGTTCGGGAACTGCTGGAATCCGATTGAAAATGAATCCCACATCAGGGGTGCAGTCGATCCTCGCGAGCTTCTCTGTCTAACGAATTTGCATCAGCGATCGGTGAGCTTCGTCAATGTCAGCTCGTGAACTTCGAAAACGCGACAGTCACAGATGAATATTGCAAGCGCGACCGAGTCGATATCAATTTTGCGACCCTCGAAACCCGCAAATTTGATGAGAAATTTACGCCGATGAGAGTGTCGCTCGTCGTTACCGATCGCAATGTGCGCGGACGATGAATGATTCCGATCAGTGACCTTGGAAAATCCAACTGAACTCGAACTTACGTTAGGAGTGATGGTCGGCGAGCAGCGGACACGCCGATCGGCGGACGATCTCGTTCAGCGGCAGGATCACACGCGAAGGACCGAACGAAACGGCGTCGTTAAAACTGCACAGTGACGTTGTTGCGCGTCGCGGTATAGATATGTATTTTATATCTATACGTACACACAAACACACACACACACACACACACATACACACAGAGTGGTATCGTGCGAGATTATATGCGAGAGACGCGCGCGCAGTCTCGCATGTGCACACGAGCGAGCTACGACCGCGGTGCAGCTGCAACTGTGTGTGCAGGCTGGGAATGCTGGAGGTGGTATGGAGGCGGCTCTCCGATGGGCGCACTCGCTCTCTGCCCGGTCTGTCTCTCTGCGTTCTCTTTCTCCGTCTCTCACCCTCTCTCATTCCATTTCGCTCTCGCTCCCTCTTTTCGCTCCGCTCACCCCTCTCACCGTCCGCCAGTTCCACGAACATTCTCCCCCCCCCGCTTCTTCTTTCTCTGTCTAACTCACTTCTGTTCGCTCGCCGGTTTCTATTCATCTCTCTCTCTCTCTCTCGCTCTCTCCCTTTCTCTCGTCAAAACTCCCGCTGGGCTTCTCCCTTCCTTCCCGAGGGGAGCCCAACTCTATCCCAGTTGCTCTATGAGTCAAGCTTCGCACTCTCTCTTTCTCTCTTTCTCTCTCTTTCTCTCTCCTCTTCTCCGTTCGTTCTCTTCTCGAAATGCCACGATTGTATTTTTAATCTTGGAAGATTAAGTTTCTCCTCTTCCGCCGTGAACTGGCAGCACCTCGTTACTTCATTCTTTCCCCGGATCCCTCTTGGCACTTCTCTCATTTCTCTTCCTTCCAGTTCTCTTCCTTCTTCGAAATCATCGACACCGCTTTCCCGCCGAACTTCGTTCTTCCTTCATTCCCCAATTGACGATTCTCCCTCTTTTACCCATCGAAGTTCGCATTCCGGCGGAGATTTAGTCGTTTGCAGTCGTCGTTACGGTCAGAATTGCTCATTCTCGCGTTCTCCCTTTCTCTCTCTTTATAGATTCTACCTTCTATAGCTGTTCTTTCTCCTCGCGTTCGCGGCGACTTTCTCTTTTCTTCTCCTCGCGCTATCTCCCTCAATCTCGCGCCAACTCGCATTCCAATATTCTTTTTCCTTCGGTTTGCTCTCCTAGAGCTATCTCTGTTGCTCTCTTTCTCTCTCTTTCCCTTTCTCTCTGTCCACAGCTAGTCGGAAAGCAACGACAGCGGACAGAACCGAACAGAGGAGAACGCAGGGGGACGGGCAGGGAAAAGAGAGCTCGTCCCAACGAGGGGATGGTGGTCGAAAGCCGCGATTCTTCGTCTCTCTTATTGCAACCGGCCTTTCTGATGCAACTCTCTCTCTCTCTTTCGGTACCTCATCCACCCCCACCATGATGTGGCCCTCCCCGCTTTGCGAGTTCCATGACCCTTCCCTTCCGCACCGTGCTGCCATGGGTTCAGGGACGATCCCATTTCAGTGGAGACCCAGCCGCTGTCCTGGGGGACTTCACAAACGGCGGGCTTTGTTTTTACAGATTCGCCTACATTTGCGTCGTTTAGAATTCAATTAACTCATTAATTTTTATCGCGAATAAACAAACGCAGAGATATTTAACTGAACAAACAATTGCGAGATTTTTTAAAAATACATTCTCGAGAATTGTCGTACTTCAAATATTAATATAACAGGAAATAATTTCATGAAAAGAAAATTTTAATTTTATCACTGATAAAAAGATAAATTATTTTCTTTTTAACATCGTAGACATTTCAAACATATTGTTTTTAACGATTAATTTTATTAAGGCAAATTTATTGCAGATTGAAGAGTCAAGAAGATTTAATGCCCGCATTTTCGATAACTATGAGAAACACACGGAGAGAAATATTTCTCTGTCCATTCAGAATTCCAGAATATCGTTTTAAACTGATATTTCGTGCACGCTCTTCCGAAACACGCGGCAATTAATTACGAGGGTATACACCGATAACTATCGTCACGGAAGACCGGGAAATTCGATCTCGCACATGAGGTCGCGGAGCATAAAGGTACCATCTCGCTCCCGCGTTGTACAATAGATGAGAGAACTCGAGTATGCCTATCGTAAAATCGATAATCGACGACGCGACGCTTCGTACGTACGGAAAATATTGTGCAAGCGGCGTTTCGGCGGTCAAGCATCATCTCACTCTATGAAGTGCGTCATGTCCCTTTTAGCGCGGAAGGAAGTCAGTGTGAATGTTGACCTTTCGTGACATAAAATTACGTCATTTTGAAACACTCTTAATGAGACTATAAACATACGAGAAATGTCTGTTTTCGCAGTTTAAAAAAAAAAAGACAAATATTTCTAGACGAGCTTATTGGATGTACTTTGGGAGATTTAAAGCTCTAATTTCATTACTTCTTATATAGGTCCACTCCTGAAAGGGAGAACCGGCGTGTCTCAGCACGAGAAGGACGTGACACATGCTGAACCTACGGCACAGGACATGGAGGAGAAAGAACGAACGAGTGTCCCTGGGAAGCGCGTCGCAAACGAAGAGAGATTGCATTGCAGTAGTGTATCGAGTAATTTGTGGAATGTATCTTAGGAATGATTGGACGCGAGGGTGCGCTTCATTGGAAAAATATTTTATCTGTGGCATCCAGTGATAGTTATCCCTCATTTTCGTACTATCTCTCGAACAGTGAAGGTAACGTACAAATGTTTTTCTCACCAATTTAAAGATTGACAAACGTACAATTCGCTCAATATTTGAAATTATTTCATAAATTTCAATTTCCTCCAATTCTCACGCAACTTTGTTATTTAAAAGTGTTCCCTCGTGCGCGTTCGTGCCGCCGTGAGTGCTGTCAAAAGAGAAGGACTCATCATTCAACCTAATAGAGCTTCTCCCCTCATATAATCACACAATCATGCGATGATATGGGGCTGCAAAACTTGAAATTTTTCCTTCTCGAAAATGATTATTGGTTCTCGAGTTCCAATGCGATGACTGTTACGTCACTGCAATCCGGCGTAAAACAGAAAGAGACGGATGAGAGAAGAGAGAAAGAAAATGAGAAAGAGAGAGAGAGAGAGAGAGAGCGGAAGAGTGAGCGAGAGAAAGAAAGATAAGGGGAAAGGGGTAAGAGGAGAAGAGTGAGAGACGTGATGCTGGAACGTGTGTTAGTCATGGGTTGCCCATAGCAACCCACGCGGCTAATGCACGCGTTATAGGCGCCTCGTACAGGGCCATAGTGTACAGGGTGTCTTAAAAGTCACAAATTCTTAAATATCGAAGATATTAACGGTAAAAAGCTATTAAAAAAAATTAATATCGTAAGCATTAATTTTATAGTTGTAAGCCTTTTATAATATCTTTTCGCAACAAATAATAAATTTTATTTTTAATTAACTTCCACTGTGCGCGAACGTTCCTTTTCGAAACCTCAATTTGAAATTTTATATCGAGATATTTTGTATTAAATGTCAAAAGATTAAATATTAATCATACTTTCGCTGTGAAATATTTGACTGGAAAGAAATTTGCGAAGAAACGGAAGACAAGTCCTTGATTTTGTCGCACTCTGTATACGCAACACCGTATGCGCTCTTCGTACTACGCTTCTACTACGCGCGCACGCGTGCGGCACACTCGCGTGCTACGCACACATGTGTTACCGTAGTTAATTGATTTCGCCTCCGTCGGCCGGCACACGATGTTACCACTCGATCTGGGCAACGAAACCGCGTTATCGGCAACCAAACGCACATGCCCACAAAACATGGCTGCTGAACTATTTAGGGTTGCAGGAGGTGAAAATCTCCCTGTGTTTCAAGCCTATTCGACAATCTGCTTTCGAATCCAATAAGATAAGCTATTTTTCGAATGTAGTGGAAGAAACAACTCATACTAAAGATATTCATAATGCATCGCTAATTTTTTGCAGTATCGCTATCTGAAAATATTTAAAGCATGTAAAGAATTTCAAGTCTTCTTTACACAAAAAAAGTATATAGCAAAAACTAGTACAATTTCAATTTCAAACAAAATTAATATAAATATCATATAAAGAGAATTACATTGAAACTTTTAAAGATAAAAGAGTCTGTAATATGATAAAAGATTTTATCATATTATGCATAGTATATTAAATAATTAAAAGTTTAGATAAAAAATAAATATAAAAATAATATGAAAAATATTTCAGGTCTTTATCATCGCTGCTGCATTTCTCTCTAACGATTAAGTGTTTCGCGGAAACGTAAGATCGACTCTGATTTTTCTTCGGCGTATAGATCGGTTAATGACTGACATTACAAGCGGGTATAGCATGATCAAATCAACGGTGACTGGAGTGCAGCGAATGTATCAACGCACGCATTATGTTAATCAGGTCCAGGTAACGCGATTTTTTTGCTTTATTCTTTTGCAAGCGAATCCTTTGCGTAATACTCGCTTCGCGACCCGCTTGCTGGACAAAAGTTGATATGATCGCAAGAGCCAATAAAGCAACAGCTAACTTTCATGTGTTGCAGCACGACCTTCTGTGTTACGCGTATCAATATCGGAGAGATATCTTCATTTTTAAGAGAGAAATTACTTGTATTGCCGAGAGAATGTGTCATTTTATATCGCCAATAAAAATGCACGATGCGCGATATTGAACGTGCGATGAAAATATACAAAATATCCCAACAGTTTAAATATTATTTTCACTTGTAGACGATTAAAAAAAACATGTTAATCATTCATTAAATGTAAAAATATTTCTTAAATTTTTATGAAAATTTTTTAATAAAAATAAATTGAATGTATACATATTTAAGTAATGAAAATAAATATTTTGTAATTTAATAATAAAATATAAAATATATTTGTAATGCAATTTAAGTATTGAAAAATTGGCATTAAAATTTAATAGCTAATTTTATATTTAACTAATAATTGTTACTTTTCTTTGTTTCCAGTCGTTTGTAAGTCAAAATGCATGTTCATGTTTTGTGACTCTAATACTTAGGAGTGGCAACGGTTTTTGGTGTCTATTGAATAAAAAATAAAGCCAGTCAACGGAAGTCGAAAGACAATCCTTCGAGAACGAGAGAGTTACATGTATGTAACGAATTCGACAAAGTCACGCATGAATTAAATATACAATGGGGTTGTAGTCGGCTCGGCGTCTTTACGCTGAAACTTTGGCGAACGAAGTTTATGTCGCGTAAACTCTCCTGCAGCTCTCTCATAAATAAGAGCAGGTTTAGCTGTTATTAACGCATGGCGCAGCGAGTCGCCGATCGATCAAGCTCGAACCGAAGAAATGCATTAGCGTTTCGAAAGTCGGCGAACTCCGCAGGAACATCGCAGGAACGGAAGAGGCAAGAGTTGCGCGAGAGAAACCCTCGCCTTCCTCCTTTCCGATATATTGTTCCCGTTCGCGTCTATCTGGGGCCCGAGCCACGAATCTCACTCGCTAGATCCCACGCTTACGATGGAATTTCGAGGTCTTCGGGCGGTATATCGGGCCCATTCTCATCCCACATTCGAGTACATCTGCATTTACATGTGAAGTTAAGACGTGCGATGTTATGTTAATACAAGCTGTTATTCTCGTAAAAATGTAAGGGCCGGCGAACATCTTGTGAATACATATCGCACCGGTATATTCCCTATGCGCGTTATTTTGTTTCTTAAAAATCTCCTATTAGAAATTTCATTTTTAATCGAACATAAAATCTACCGTAAGTCATTAGAAAATCTTTGAGAATTCACGATAAATCTGTAAAAAGAATCAGTGGAGCTTGATAATGCTTGATAAGTTCTAGCTGCATTCACGCTGATTGACGTCTGATTACATTTTCCTTCATAACTAGGCTTATACTGTGGAAAGATCCGTTAGGCGGAATTGGTTAACCAAGGTTATCGGTGCGATCAGAGGCGAGAGACACCCGTAATTGCAATGTACACTTATGTTGTTCGGCGTTACCCAGCAAATCCATAAATCAAGCCGCTCCGTAGGAAATTTGCGCAATGCACTTTCGTTACATCATCGTTGCGCTTATTCGCCGTATCCGCCATATCGTGCGTTCAATTATTCGCGAAAGCATTTTATATCTCGCGAAGAAAACGCATATGTATTTCGTCAGTGTAGCAATGCCCCTTCCTCTCGTCGGGACTCCGATTCGGCAGTGCCCCGTCGTGATAAAATTGCCGACCTGGAATTCGCGCTCGCGCCGATGCGAATTTGTCACGCATCGACGGTTCTGCACGCGGTTCGAAAAATAATGATTCAATTTTGGCCCTTTCGCTATCAACAGGGCTAATGTTTATTTGGTTCATGGAATGTATTTTTATTAGTTCAATTTTAAGCGTTGCTTTTTGCTTAAAAAAAGAACATATCTTTTTCCGTTTATAATTTCTTTTGATTTTAGAGATGCATAAAAGGATAGATGAAGAATAGATTGTTCTTTTCGCAATACTCTATTAAACTACATTGGTTCGTAGTATCGTATCATTGATTCGTGGAATCGCTTATCTCGGCACACTTGGTCGGCAATTTCATTTCTGTCGCTCAGGCGATTCGTTTTAATCAGGTCGTTATATCCCCTATTGTTCCGTTGTTCACGCCGGTTTGTGCCGCCTTCAATTTACGACGCCGTCTCCGCGGAATGTCTTCTAATAATCGCTAATTAGAGTTAACAGCGTGCAACCAGCCGCCTCGTCCCGTCGAAAACGATTCGCGATCACGCTGCCGTCTAGTTTCCGAGAATCGGCAGCAATTTCATAACAATAGTAATAAAAGCGATGAGTTAACGGCAAAATTACGGTAAAACGATATAGAATAATCATAGATTATACATAGGTGCAACATTTTATAACTTTATTATCAATATTTAAATCCACGAATGTAACTTGTATATAATTAGAAAGTGTTTTATTTTAATTAATTATTAATTTATTAATAATAATAATTAATAATTAATAATTAATAATTTTAATCAATTCGTTAATAATAACAAATAATAAATTCCGAGATCATTTATTTGTTTTTATTCTAGAAATCTATTCACGTACACGATCTTTTGATTGTGTGTGTTGAATATATTCTACATTCCATTTGTAAATTATTATCATTTGTTATACGGTGAATATGAAGAATTATCCGATTTTTGTTTCATGGCAATACAGAATATCGATGGTTATTTAACTGATTAAGTGGAATTTATCGGGCATAATTATCAAATTAATTATGATAAATATGAATAAAAATAAATACAGAATTTCGAATCGTTAGAATTGCATTCAGTAACCGATATCAAATTATTAATATAATAGTAAAATTTTTATTAAATTAGAATTGCTGCGGCCCGCAATTATAGCTGGATTAACATATTAGATGCAGCAGATGTTTATAATTCAGAGGGAATATGCCATATGAATCCAGTGTGACGTTAATGGAAGGTTACTCGACAACCGCAAGAGGATGAAAATAAATGCATTTAATAACGCTACGAAGCAAGCGGAGTCGCTCAAATATACAGAAATGCTTTTTCTAAGAGTCGACAAAATACAAAACTGACATTTTCTCAAAGGCACAAGTTTTTTTTCTGAACTTTGCTATTCCTTTCGTTAAATATCTCAATTTTCGATAATTAAATATTCTGATAACAAAATCTCTAATTAAGCACGAATTAATTATCACATTTTTGTACTAAAAACCTGTAACAGAAAAATAAATAAGCAAAACGCGAATAAATACACGAGTCTCAACTTACTATCTTTCTATGCTTCAATCCTAACAAAAATGGAGAACTGTGTCAAGTAGTTCAGTGATGATGTAAAAGTAGTCGCGAGTTGCTCGAACTTGCCAGAATTAATCAACGTTATTCTCACTATTAAACAAACTTTAATTAAACCAAACTGCTCGAGCATCGCGCGTCATTTCACGCCGAAGGGCGTCCTAACAGCGACCTAAGGGCCATTGACTGGAGGCCTAAATCGTCGCGGCGCGATACACAAGAATGCGCCGGGATACTTCACGAGGATACGTAGATGCCGCAGCGCG